CTGAATGGCCAAAAAAAAAAAAAAATCTCAAAGCAAAAATTAAAAATGCATGTTTTTCTTCATGTCTTTTTTTATCTAAGACAAGTTGTATCTACAACTTGTCATGTATTTCCTCCAACAGTGCTTGTATTAACGATTATATATACTAGGTACAGTACGGCCAGCTGTGGAGGCACACATCTGTAATCTCAGCACTGGAGAGGCCGAGACAGGAGGATCACAGCAACTTCAAAGCCAGACTGAACTATATAGTGAGACTGTATCTCAAAAATGCTAATGGGAAAAATACAGTTTGTGCTGATTGGATGATTTCAACCTTAACTTTTATCAAGTTTTCCAGCATAATCCCGTGTGAACATTTAGGTACAGGCTTACTCCTCCTACTCACTTCCATCCATCTTCTCAGTAAAAGAAGGAATATGTGAGCATCGAGCTCTCTGAAACTTAGATGTCAGAGAATGGGCAGCTGAACAGAGTGACCAGTGATTGGGTGGAAGACTGGAATGGCCAGGTTTGCAGGCTAAGGTAAGAGGGTGGTGAGAAGAAGAGGGAGAAGAGAATTGTTCCTACCCTGGAAGGTCTAGGAAACTGAAGGTGTGGGGTCAAAGATTAGATTTTGCAATGAGGAAATCACTGCTGACCTTGATAGAGGGATTTCAATGAAGCATGGTGAAGGCTTAAATGGACTACTAAAGACAGGAGAAATAAGGATGTGTAACAGTGAAATTTTAATCGATTTCCTACAGAGAAGAACACAGATTTGTTGGCACACTCATTAAGATATATACGGTAAGGGAGCTTTATTAAGGATAGGGTTGTACAAGAACAAGACAATAACAACTTAGTAAAAAGGAAAAATTGAATACTAGAAGAAAAGACACAACTGTAGGAGATGATCCTTGAGTAGAGAAGAGCCTCTACATAAACCATGACACTGGCCCAAAGCCAGAGCAGGGCCTGTTCTTCTCTGCGGGTATGAAGTAAGGTGTTTGCTTACTTGCTCAGGGAAAATGGAGCCACTTTTGTCGGATTGTTACTGTGTTCTCAGTGAAACAAGAGTGTAAGGGCTGGTGAGACATCTCAGCAGACTAAGTGCCTGATTAGGGAAGTGATGGGACCGGGGTTTGATCCCCAGTACCGCATGTTGTGCTGGCCCCACCTCTAGTGTGTTGAGCTGGCTACCGAGTCAAAGTGTGGTGGCACATACCTGTAATCTCAGTTCTGGGGAGGCTGAAAGCAGGAGGATCACTGTGAGTCTCAGTTGGGTAGTGAGACCTGTACCAAATACATAAAATGGAAAAAAAAAGTGAAGGTAATCATATGAGAGAGAGAGGCTGAAGATGAGAGAGAGGTTGTGACACCCTCTCAGAGTGACAAAATGCAACAGAATTGCCAGTCTATGAGGAGTGTCCATCCACTTGGGGTGTATTTTGTAAATGTAAAACCAAGAAGTTTGCACAATGTTATGTTCTGTTTCAGTCATGTTTAGCCACTTAGATGTAAACATGGAACCAATCAAGACTTAAATTTAACCACAGCTGAGGGTTTGCTAGGCAAGAGGAAATGAAGGGCAAGGTATGAACAGCAATTACCTGGGCCTTGGATAATCTGAGCTGAGTAAGGAAGAGGTCATGAGGAATAATAAATAGTGAAAAAGTAGAGGAGGCAAAGGTGGACCCAGTGAGGCACAGTTGGAGATACTATAAAGTGAGGTGGGCTGGGAATTGTGGCGTACACCTTTAGTCACCACACAAGAAGCTGAGATGGGACCATCACTCGATCCTACAAGTTTGGGCAACACAGCCTGGGCAACACAGAAGATCTCATTTCAATTTAAAAAAAAAAAAAGAAAAAAGTATTGAGAAGCTAAACATTGAGGTGCATGAAATTAAAATCTTGGAGGTGGTAAAATACAGTAGAATTACAAGGTCAAGATTATTACAATGGAAGTGGAGGGTGAAGTGTGGAAAACAAGAATGCTGATGTGAGAACAGCAGCGGGGTGCCAGGGTGGATGGATGGTCTTAGGTGGAAATGGGTGTCTCTTAGCCGTGTTGAGAGGATCAGTGGTGGAGAAGAAGGTTTGATCTGTGCATAAATTTTAATGTATGGCAGGAAGTGGGGCAAAACTGTTAGTGGACTGGAAAACAGAGACTGGTCTGGGTGGCCCAGACAGATGGCATTTCTTTTAAGATAATAGGAGCTTTTGAGGAGATGGAAAACAAAGATACTCTGAAGCATCAATGAAGAGCAAAGCAGAGACTTACTTTATGCTAAGCACCAAAGTGCAGCAGGTGTTGATGGCCCTGTGGTGCAGGGAGGCAAAGGGTACAAAGATCACCGAAAGAATGAAGATTATTGTACTATAACATCATGTAACTCGGTAGTGTCCCAAATTTTCTGATCAGGGAGATTATGGAGCCACAGAGAAATGTGATCGATGATGTATAGTGTGCCTGGGGAGAGTCACATGGAGAGAAAACATTCTTTCAAACTTTCACAGAGAGCAAATTGGTCAAGCAATGGCCATGACTCATCCTCATAGTTGACACTGACAAAGGATCTACAAAGTGCAGTACAGGGCTACAGGATAAATCCTGAGGGTACTTGACTGACCTTATCAGATACAAAAGTTACATTTCTTGTTATATAGGCCCTGATTTATCTTGGTCTTAACCATCCAGCAGAAAAGTATAAAAACAAGGTATATAAAGTAAAGCCATATTAATACAATGAGCTGTAAAAGGCTCAAGTCAATAACTTCTGAAGATAAACCACTAATATTATAGACTGCTAGACAATGTTGGATTGTTTTGCTGAATTCAAACACCTATAGTATTTAGATGCCAATAGAATATCCACCTCTGACAGAACTAAACAAAAAAAAGGAAATGCAAAGGAAAGATCATTTTGTATTTATATATACAAAATAGGATAAATATACAGCTACTTTCACTTAATTCAATGAGAAGAAAGAGGTGTACTGATAGTGTTTGGACAGGAAATCCTGTCTGCTTTTTGTACTATGGATAACCACTAAGACAATAACAATGCACAATGTATTGATTATCAAAACTGTCCTATTAATCAGCTTTGAAACTGTCTCATTCATATTTGTTTCTCAATAAAATTAAAATTAAAAAAAGAAAAAAAAAGAAAGAATGAAGGTTAAAAACTGGCCAGATAGCTCAGCAGACTAACTCGCCTGCTTAGGCAGAGTGCAGCGTCCAGGTGTGCCATGCCAGCCCCGCTCCTGGAGCACTCTGAGGCAGAAGCGAGTGAGAATGCACGTGGTAGCACATGCCCGTAATTGCAGGGCTTGGGACGCTGAAAACAGGAGAATCACTACAAGTCCAATCTCTGTTGTGAGAGCCTGTACACCCTATATGCCCTACCCTAAATTCATAAAAAGAAAAGAAAAGGGGTGAAAGTTGACAGGGAAAAGGTGATGGGAATTTGATGGAAGAAAGAGGAAAGGAAGGCATTCACTCATGACAGAACTTTGAAAGAGGCTCAGTGGAAGGGCAGAGTGACAGCGAAGTGGGAGACTGTTGGCCGAGTAATGCGCCAAAAGGGATAGAGACAAGAATCTAAAGACGATGGAAGACTTGGGAGTCCTGGACTCATGGAGGGCCTCTAGAGGGTCCCTATGTTCATCAAACTCTGCCCCTAGTCCAGGAACCCTCTAGTTCTTTTTTGGACCCTCCATAGAATCATATTAGAGAGGATAGCTGAATAGACTATTGAAAAAATTCATGGCGCTTAGGGAAGAGTGATTCTATGTGAGGGAGGGTGAAAGGGTTTTCCTTAGACCATCAGGACAAGAGGAGGAGGGGAAGTGGGCTTAAAAAGAACTAAGCTGTGTTATATACATGTACCAGCTCCCTGTGGTGAGTGTAATCAGTGCGTACGGCAGACTTGTACTATCATAATAAAAATAAAAATTATAGAAAAAGGAATATCAGATGGCAGGAGCATTTCCATTGAGAAACATAAGAGCAAAGCAGAAAGAGCAGAAGCTGGAGTCAAAAGACATAGATGAGTTCCTAACCTGATTCCCACCACCTATAGATCTCTAGGGGAAAAACTCCCACCTTTGTACATACCACTTACTTAACCCCATCCCAGCCCCCACCCTGGGGCTGGGAATCTACCCAGAACCTTGAGTTCTTAATGTAAATCTTTCTGCCTTGGGAGACCTTGAACTTCACATGACAGTCACCTCTTTAGGGGATCCTGTACCTCTGTTGCAACCCTAATTGCATCCCATTTGGAAATAGTGTAAAACTGTCCAAACATAAGATGGACAAAAAAGAAAGATGGACAAGAAAGATAAGAGAAATACATAGCAGACTCCATATGCCCTAGTACCTAGCCCTTTGCTTATGTGCCAACACTCCCCACCACTTGAGGAGCCATTATTAAAATGTTTATTCTGCTAGGCATGGTGGTGCACATCTGCAATCCCATCACTCAGGAGGCTGAGGCAGGAAGATTGCCATGAGTTCAAAGCCAGCTTGGGCTATGTAGTGAGCTCAAGCCCAGCCTAAAATACCCAAAAGACCATTTCTTGAAAAAGAAAGAAAAAAAATTCATTCCTTTTTGTTTTGAAACATTTTTTTTGTATGATGCATAATACACTAGAGAAATGATAGTTAATGCCACAAGGGATTACAGACTAAGAAGTGACAGTTACTGGGATGAGAAGCCAAGGTCTGAGAAATGCTAATTAGTGCTACTTTCAGACATGATACAAGTAACATAATGACCTTTCTCCTCAGGTAGCTGGGGACACATAGCACTGCCCAGGGAGCCTGAGAAGGGAAGAATCAGAGCCAGCCACTATCGCACACACCCAGGAACCGGACAGGTGTGTACATGCTGGAGAGGCGATGTTTTCCTCTGGTTCACCCATGTTCTGAGTGAGACCTTTGGCCCAGTTTTAGAAGCCAGCTGAGCTTCAAATACCTGAGGCGGGGCCTCCAGGCCCTATAAAGCCCAACCAGGAATTGTTGGGCATCTCTGCACAGGGCTGTGAACTGCTAGCTTTCTGCTTGCTCCCTAGACATGCATCGGCTGTTGACTCCCGTGAGGCAGGCTCTGCAAGCCAAGAGGGTGATTCAGGAGGCCTCCCTCGCTGCTGTGCGCCTGCTCCCTGCAGCCCACCAAAGGTAAGTCACCTCACTGTTGGGGTCGACCTGGGTCAGCTTTTGAGAAGCATTATAGGACCAGCAAAAGATAGGCATGTGGCTTGCCAGAGGGAAACTCCCTCAGCTTGCCAGTAAAACTTGCCAGGCAGAGCCTGTGTGCAGCTTTAGACAAGAAGATTAATGTACAGGATCTCAGTTGGCTCATCCTGAACAATAGACCCTTTCACCCATAGAACCAGAGGATGTCAGACCTCTGACACACACTCTTTTGGAGCAACAGCATGTTTTACTCCACCAGCTAGGGCCCCAGCCCCCTACTGTGCTCCACTCTTCTCTCCTGTCCCCGAGCTCCTACCAAGACCTTCAGGCTTCCTCAACTGTAGTGGCTTCATGCACTGCAGCAAGATCCCAAACTGACTGAGAATAAAAAATTGTGCTTCTGTGGGCTCCAGTTTTATGCCACAAGGAGATGAAGTATAAAGATGATGTGCATATGTGTGCCTGAGCCTGAGCAGGCAGCACACACACTTCTTTTCTTTGGATCTATCTCTTCTAGTCTGTTTCAAGAGCTGCCATCTCTGTGCGATGGTGGAAACTTTGCTGTATTCCGGTGCCTTGGGTTCTGAGCCATCTGCGTGTCATGATCTTGTCAATAAGCCTCCCATACATAAGCCCTCTTTTGCATTCTTACTCTGCACTGTGTCTTTCCTTCCCTGGGGCATGCGGATATACAGGTGTGTGTGGAGGGCAGCGCTGACTAGGTCTTTATTTTCTTCCTGACTCCGCCTTTGTCTACATTCCCTTCCCCCACTAAGCCATGACATTCAGACCAAATATCTCAGCTCAGGATTGGACTGGTTTCTGTATTTGTGAGAGAAGGCGTTGAGTGGCTTAGCTTGCTTCAATAAGCAAAAGTTGGCCACTCACCAAGAGAGGCTGACGTCTCTGGTCTAGATCCTGGGATCCTCACTCACTGTTCCCTATTGGTGTACTCATTCAGTCTCATTAACCATGGCCTGAACTAGTATGAAGAATGTTCTTTACGGCTCTTCTCTTCTCCATGTGTTTATCCACCTGAAGCTAGCTCTCCATAGCATTAAATCCAACCTGGGAACTACACCTGGATCAGCATCTGCTTCCTTGTCTCTGAAATGAAGCAAGATCGGAACTTGCACTCCTACCTATTGTCTCTGCAGTGCCTCCTCTCTTTTCCAGGTGCCCTGGCCTGCTCCATCACCACTGTTGTGGCCTTCTAGTTACTACCCTTCCAGTTCTTCATCAGCAAAAATTCCCTCCTCCCTCCAGGATTATCTCAATTGTGACCTCTCCCACCAAGCTTTTCCTTATCTTTCCTGATCACCTCCCCTTGATGTACCTGGTGTTTTCCAGACAGACTAGTTCACCCTGGTAGCCTTTTGCCTCCTGTCTCAGTCAAGAGAGAAAGAGGGAGGATGCTCTTGTAGATCTGGGTCTAGCAAAGTGTCTCAGTTTACTGAGTGCAGATCTACGAAGTTTGAATTCCTGTGGGTTTGGCTGCTGTGCTCAGTTTCTTCCTGTTGCAGCCCTTGGAAGTGAACTTGCTGTGCCTCTCTGGCAAGATGTTCTGCTCTTGGATTAGCTGGGTAGTTCTGGCCCCTAGCCTCTGTGCAGGGACTTCAGCTGCAGAGTTGCACACCAGGCCTGGATGCCAGGCCTGGGCTGGGTCTGGAGGGGTCCAGAGAGCCAGACAGAAGGACTCACTCACAAGTGTTCTGGGCTGGGTTGAGAGGCATCCAGCAGGCAAAGGGGAGCATAGAAGCTCTCCCACACACTCGCCAGGCTTGGGCTTGGGCTCGCTTTTCCTTATCTTTCCACTACAGAAATCTCTGCTTCCTTTTAACTCCTGCAGGATTTTGCCCACGTCCCTTTTTTGGCCCTTGTCCCTTTCTGCCTCACAGTTCTTTATGTGTTCTTGTTCTTCAAGGGCAAGGATGTCCTCGGTGACCCTGCTGTCTTCTCTGTGCAACCTTTCTGTCCCATGCTATCTTCTCCAGCACAGGACTAGCACGCAGTAGTTAATTTGGAAACATAAAGGAAAGAAAAAAATGGAGGGAAGGAATAGTAGCTTGACACATGTTCTTGAACCAGGCCACACCAAAACAAACTGATTTTAAATTAAACAAAGTGATCATTACTCAGAGAGTGCACAAGATTAGTAGGCTAGTTTATTTTGTATTGTTCACAACCTTCTTTTTAGGTTTTTATTTTGAGGCAGCATCTCACTAAGTTGCTGAGTTTCCTCTGCTGGACTAAAGCTTGCAGTCCTCCTGTTTCAGCCTCCCAGAGTGCTGGGATTACAAGCATGAGCCACCATACCTGGCATAGAAGGATACCCTAAACTACAGCGGCCTGACGCTTCTGGAAGCATTTATGTGTTGGCCCCTAAATCTTTGTCCAGGAATTGTCCTACCAAGACAATTACAAAAGCTAACAAGTGATTGGCTCTTAGAACCAGTCCTTGTACTTTAGATTTCTAACTGGAAAGAGAGGAAGAGAGTGAGGACAGGGGAGACATAATGAGAAAGGAACCAGGGGAGAAGCTATCCCAGCTAGTGCCTCCAAGCGCTGGCTAACCATTAGCCCCGAGCTACTGAGAAAGAGCCTCCATAAATATTTGAAAGTACAAACTCCGGTTATTTGGAGGGTACTAAATAAACAGGACAGATAAACAGATGCCAACTCTCTCTGGGCAGACAGATGAACCCCAAGTACCAAGCCTTACTGGCTTGTGACCATGGGATCCACTCTCACTTCACAATGGTCCTTGAAAATGGCTTTTCAGCTGGAAGCACTGAGACACACTGTCTTAAAGATGGCTGAGAGAAGCAGTCAATATGAATTACAACTTTTTTACCTTTAACATAACTTTATAAATGAGGCACCCAAGGCAGAAGAGGGACAAAATCTTGCTAACATAAAAAGCACAGTTACTCTGAGCACATTGCTTCGTGTCAAGGAGGTGACCAGATTTCAGGCACTTTCATGTGGGAGTATATGGGAGGTGGAGATGGGGATCTTGTTTCTTAGAGCAGGGAGGAGAAACTCCAGGTTTCCCCCAGAGGTCAAAGTGGGAGAGAGTGGTTGGATCTAAAAGAGAAATAGGGCTTCTCCTCCCAATTCCAACAACTCCTCTGCCATTTTGTCTGTCTCCATATGGAACTGCTCTTTTTTTCCCTCAGTACTCTCATACCTCTTTTTTACAGTGTATTGCTATAAATATATCTGCCTCCTTCCATTAGGCTATGCCATTTTGTGGGCATAAAGTATCTCTTATTCACTATTCTGTACAAGCACTTTGTTGGATGTGCTCAGTAAATATGGTGGCCAGAAACGTCAGTGTGCCCGTAACCCTGGCACTCTGGGAAGCTGAGGTGCAAGACTGCAAGTTCAAGCCCAGAGTGAGTAACAACTTCTTGACTGAGTGAGACCTGAGTCCTTGTATCAAAATAAAAAATAAAAAAGGGGTGAGAATGCAGTTTAATGTGAGGGGTCTGGGTTCAACTTCCAGGAAGTAAGAAAAGGAAGGAGGGAAGGAAGGGAGAGAGGAAGAAAGGAAAGAAGGAAGGAAAGAAGGAAGGGAGGAAGAGAGGGAGGAAGAAGGAAGGAAGGAAGAAAGGAAGGAAGGAAAGAAAAAGGAAAGACAGGAATGGAAAGGGAAAGAAAAAGGGGAAAAGGAAGGAAAGAAAGGGAAGAAAGAGGAGAGGAGGGAAGGGAAGGAGAGGGCAACGCAGAAGGGAGAGAAGGAGGAGGGAGAAGAAATTGAAACCTCAAATCAGAATATGTAGAATGTAATCAAGAGGAAAATTTTCTTTAAATTAGCAAAATGGTGGATATGTTCTTGTGCAATGAAAAGAAGGGCAAAAAGAGAGGAAGAGAATGAAAGGCACACTTTAAAAATGAGTAAAATTTTAAAAATTGTGTCCTAGGAGGGTTTCAACATATGTAGAAATAAAGTGTGTGACAGTAATAACTCAGAGATAGAGATGGTAAATAAAGCTAATCTAAGGTAAGGATTTTGTGTTGTTTAGAAAGTGGTACTATTATTTATTTTTGAATGGAATTTATTGGTACAATTTGAATATACAAAATAACATTCATCATAGAAAATTTGTACCTGTACATGATATAACTTGATTCCTCATCAACCCTTGAACTCCTCTTCCCCTATTCATAAAGTTTTGCTTCCATTTTATCCTTCTTTTTCCTTCTTTCTTTCCTCTCCCCCTCCCTAGTTCCCCTTTCTTTTGCATACTTTCTTCATATTTTATAATATCTATCATACATTTTGGTCTTATTTACAATTTTAGTTTCTCATGCAGGAGAGACAATGTGCTATTTGCACATGGGTGTCTGGTTTATTTCAGTTAGGAATATGGTCTCAAAGTCCATCCATTTAGCTATAAATGTCTCAAATTTATCCTTCTTTATGGCTCATAAGTACTCCATTGTATGAAAAGTTGGCATCTTCCATGCTATAGGTATATTGATTGGGATAACATTAAATCTGTGTAATATTGTTGAAATTATGATCATTTCACTATGTTGTTTTTTCATATTCAAAAACAAGAGAAGTTTTTCAATTTTCTGATATCCTCTTTGACTTCTTTTTTCAGAGTACTGTAATTTTCAGTGTAAAGATTCTTTACTTCATTTATTAGATTGATTCCTTGGTATTTCATTTTTTGAATGCTATTGTGAAAAGTGTTTCCCTAATTTCTCTCTCAGTGCAGTTGTTATTTGTAGACAGGAATGCTATTGATTTTTGAGTGTTGACTTTGTATCTAGGTATGCTACAAAATTTGCTTATTAAATCAGTTCTTTTGGTGGAGTCTTTGGAGTCTTCTATGTAAGGTATAATATCATCCACAAATAACAATAATTTAACTTTTCCCTTTCCTTATTTCTTTTTCTTGTTTAGTTGCTGTGGCTAATGCTTCCAGAACTATATTGGATAGGAGTGGTGATACTAGGTATCCTTATCT